TGACCTGTACGCTCTTGTTGGCTGGTCCTCACTACATATTCGTCGCCAAACCCACTGGCTCCAGGCCATCTATAAATCACTGCTAGGCAAATCCCCGCCTTATTTTAGCTCATTGGTCACCATAGCAACACCCACCCGTAGTCTGCGCTCCAGCGGGTATATCTCACTGGTCATCCCCAAAGCCAACACCTCCTTTGGCCGCAATTCCTTCCAGTTCTCTGCTGCCAATGACTGGAACAAATTGCAAAAATCTCTGAAGCTGGAGACACTTATCTCCCTCACTAACTTTAAGCATCAGTTGTCAGAGCACCTTACCGATCACTGCACCTGTACACAGCCCATCTGAAATTAGCCCGCCCAACTACCTCATCCCTATATTGTTATTTATTTTGCTCATTTGTACCCAGTATCTCTATTTGCACATCATCTCTTGCACATCATTCCAGTGTTAATACTAAATTGTAATTATTTTGCACTATAGCCTATTTTATTGCCTTACCTCCATAACTTGCTAAATTTGCACACTGTATATTAATTGTATTTCTGTTGTATTTTTGACTTTGTTTTGTTTTACCCCATATGTAACTCTGTGTTGTTGTTTTTATCGCACTGCTTTGCTTTATCTTGGCCAGGTCGCAGTTGTAAATGAGAACTTGTTCTCAACTGGTTTACCTGGTTAAATAAAGGTGAAATAAAAAAATAAAATAAAAAATCTGAGAAGTAGTTGGTGAACCAGGCGAGGCAGTCATTTGAGAAACCAAGGCTATTTAGTCTGCCAATAAGAATGCGGTGGTTGACAGAGTTGAAAGCCTTGGCCAGGTCGATGAAGACGGCTGCACAGTACTGTCAATTATCGATCGCGGTTATAATATAGTTTAGGACCGTGGTCCTCTGTAGCTCAGCTGGTAGAGCACGGCGCTTGTAACGCCAAGGTAGTGGGTTCGATCCCCGGGACCACCCATACACAAAAAGATGTATGCACGCATGACTGTAAGTCGCTTTGGATAAAAGCGTCTGCTAAATGGCATATTATTATTATTATTGAGCGTGGCTGAGGTGCACCCATGACCAGCTCGGAAACCGGATTGCATAGCGGAGAAGGTACGGTGGGATTCGAAATGGTCGGTGATTTGTTAGTTAACTTGGCTTTCAAAAATTTTCGAAAGGCAGGGCAGGATGGATATAGGTCTGTAACAGTTTGGATCTAGAGTGTCACCCCCTTTGAAGAGGGGGATGATCGCGGCAGCTTTCCAATCTCTGGGGATGTCAACGTTACGAAAGAGAGGTTGAACAGGCTAGAAATAGGGGTTGCGACAATTTCAGCGGCTAGTTTTAGAAAGAAAGGGTCCAGATTGTCTAGCCCAGATGATTTGTAGGGGTCAAGATTTTGCAGCTCTTTCAGACCATCAGCTGTCTGAATTTGTGTGAAGGAGAAGTGGGGGGGGGGGGGGGGGGGGGGGGGGGGGGGGGGCATGGGCAAGTTGCAGCGGAGGGTGCAGAGCTGGTGGCCGGGGTAGTGGTAGCCAGGTGGAAAGCATGGCCAGCCGTAGCAAAATGCTTGTTGAAATTCTCGATTATTGTAGATTTATCGGTGGTGATAGTGTTTCCTAGCCTCAGTGCAGTGGGCAGCTGGGAGGAGGTGCTCTTATTCTCCATGGACTTTACCGTGTCCCAAAACTTTTTGGAATTAGTGCTACAGGATGCAAATTTCTGTTTGAAAAAGCTAGCCTTTGCTTTCCTAACTGCTTGTGTATATTGGTTCCTAACTTCCCTGAAAAGTTGCATATCACGGGGGCTATTTGATGCTAATGCAGTACGCCACAGGATGTTTTTGTGCTGGTCAAGGGCAGTCAAGTCTGAGGAGAACCAGGGGCTATATCTGTTCTTAGTTCTGTATTTTTTGAATGGGGCATGTCTATTTAAGATTGAGAGGAAATTACTTTTAAAGAACAACCAGGCATCCTCTACTGACGGAATGAGATCTATATCCATCCAGGATACCTGGGCCAGGTCAATTAGGAAGGCCTGCTCGCTGAAGTGTTTTTGGGAGCGTTTGACAGTGATGAGGGGTGGTCGTTTGACCGCGGACCCGTTACGGACGCAGGCAATAAGGCAGTGATCGCTGAGATCCTGGTTGAAGACAGCGGAGGTGTATTTAGAGGGTAAGTTAGTCAGGATGATATCTATGAGGGTACCCATGTTTACGGATTTAGGGTTGTACCTGGTAGGTTCGTTGATAATTTGTGTGAGATTGAGGGCATCTAGTTTAGATTGTAGGATGGCCGGAGTGTTAAGCATATCCCAATTTAGGTCACCAAGCAGTACGAACTCTGAGGATAGATGGGGGGCAATCAATTCACATATGGTGTCCAGGGCACAGCTGGGGGCTGAGGGGGGTCTGTAGCAAGCGGCAACAGTGAGAGATTTATTTCTGGAAAGGTGGATTTTTAGAAGTAGAAGCTCAAACTGTTTGGGCACAGACCTGGATAGTATGATAGAGCTCTGCAGGCTATCTCTACAGTAGATTGCAACTCCACCCCCTTTGGCAGTTCTATCTAGACGGAAAATGTTATAGTTGGGGATGGAAATTTCAGAATTTTTGGTGGCCTTCCTAAGCCAGGATTCAGACACTGCTAGAACATCAGGGTTGGCGGAGTGTGCTAACGCAGTGAATAACTCAAACTTAGGAAGGAGGCTTCTGATATTTATGTGCAGAAAACCAAGACTTTTACGGTTACAGAAGTCAACAAATGATAGCTCCTGGGGAGTAGGAGTGATACTGGGGGCTGCAGGGCCTGGGTTAGCCTCTACATCACCAGAGGAACAGAGGAGGACTAGAATAAGGATACGACTAAAGGCTTTAAGAACTGGTCTTCTAGTGCGTTGGGTACATAGAATAAAGGGGGCAGTTCTCCGGGCGTTGTAGAAAAGATTCAGGGCATTATGTACAGACAAGGATATGGAAGGATATGAGTACAGTGGAGGTAAACCTAAGCGCTGGGTAACAATGTATGAGATAGCATCACTGGAGGCACCGATTGAGCCGGTCTTGGCATGTATGTGGGGTGGAACAAAGGAACTATTTGAGGCAGTTTGAGAGGGACTTGGGGTTCTACAGTGAAATGGTAAAATAAGAACTAACTGGAACAGCAATAGGCAAGGCATATTGACATGGGAGAGAGGCATAAAGCAATCACAGGTGTTATTAGAGAGAGCTAAGAAAACAACTGGTAATGGCGATAAAGTTTGGGCTGAGGCTAAACAGATAAACAGGACAGGGTACTGTGTAAAGGAACAGTCCAGCAGGCATCAGCTGTGAAGCTGAGTGATCATAAGGTCCAGTGAACAGCAATATGTGAGTCCGAGAGCAGTTTGAATTGGTGCTTCAGCACAACGAGCAGGAAGCACGGTTGTTGTTTGCGTGTGCTAGCGGGCCGGGGCTAGCAGATGGATCTTCGTGGTCGTCGCAACGGGATGCCTGTTGAAACCACAGACAATTACGTCGGCAGACCAGTCGTGATGGATCGGCAGGGCTCTGTGTCGACTCTAGGATGTCCCGTCCGGTTGACAGAGAGGTAGATAGCCGGGAGATGTGCCTGACTCAATGCTAGCTCAAGGCTGATTAGCCAACAACAACATTAATTTGGTTGCAGCTAGCTAGTTCGATTATCCAGTGTTAAAGGTCCAGTGATTCAGTGATTCCGGCAGAAAATCAGATAGGTTCTGGGTCGATAACGCGCTGTGCAGACAGTGCAGACTGGCTGATAATTGTCCAGGCTAGATCTGGCTGGTAGGTAGTGCAGGCCACGGACAATGGAGAAAAGCCGCTAACGGTGGCTAATAGCAAGTAGCTAGTTAGCTGGTTAGCTGGCTACTCCCGTCCGGTAGACAGAGAGGTAGATAGCCGGGGCTAGCTCAAGGCTCAAGGCTAACTGGTGCTTTGGGGGCAGTGGTGATTAGCCTACAGCAACATCCATTCGGTTGCGGCTAGCTAGATCCGGTGTTAAGGTCCAGTGATTCAGTTATTCCGGCAGAACATCCAATGTTCTGGGTGAAAACCGCTAACGGTGGCTAATAGCAAGTAGCTAGCTAGTTAGCTGGCTGGCTAGTTTCAACTGGGATTCTAGAAAAGGTGAGTAAATAATATAATCCGTTCCACATTGAGTGAGGCGGGTTGCAGGAAAGTATATTTAGTAGAAGGATGAAAAGTGTGATAGGTAAATATATACGTAAAATACAAAATAAAATACAAAAAACAGGCTATTTACATGGACACACAAGAGAACACGACCACACTGCTACGTTATCTTGGAACTGATGCTCAGTAATTGGTCCAGATATAGGCCTACTCCCTCCCCCCACTAACTTACTGTGCCTACTGGATTACTACTGTAGCTATGGGGGACAGCAGCCAGCAACATGCTGGGTCTGGGTGGGCTTAATGATTAGTTTTTGTCCTTCATTCCTCTCAGACCCACTGACACACGATCTGTCAAAATACTGTTCCTTCACACAGGAACTCTACAATAACACACTGGGTTGCTAGCATTTAGCATTTGGCCTTTTTGGATGGGATGCTAGTGGGAGAAAAAAAATGTATGCACTCACTAACTGTAAGTTGCTCTGGATAAGAGCGTCTGCTAAATGACTAAAATGTAATGTAAATGTTATCTATGGTAACACAGGTTCGCTAATATTTAGCATGTTTCTGTTTAGGAAGCTAGATATGTTTTCATTGACTAGCTTCACTCTGTAGTTCTGAGAAGTTGTGGATCGATGTAGCAGCCCTCCATGGGAGTTCCACACCACATGGCTCCTTTCAAATAACCTGCTGTCTGTCTGTCTGTCTGTCTGTCACAGCTGCCCTGGGATGAGTGGAAAGAGTGTGATCACCATGTGTGTGTGTGCGCGCATATATGTATGTGTGTGCACTCACAGTTGGTGATGTCGGGGGGAGCGAAGCTGTCATTCATGAAGACACTGGTGGGTTTCGCCACTTTCAAGTAAACCACATCGGGGGTGTTTTTCAAGGCCGCCACGGCATCCTCGTGACTCACCTCCTGAAGACCAGCGCTGTTTACCTGGAAGGAGAGGGAGGTAGTCAGAGTCAGTTGGCTTTTCAGTTGGTTTAGCAGTTGGTTTGGCAGTTGGTTACATACAGTAGCTGACATAACAGTCAAACAGGCTGGCATTTTCAACAAGCCACAACATAACTTAATCTAAGTCAAGTACTTTAAGGAATCAAATCAAATCAAGTTGTATTTGTCACATGTGCCGAATACAGGTGTAGACTTTACAGTGAAATGCTTGCTTACGAGCCCTTCCCAACAAAACAATAAAAATAGTAACACAAGAGGAATAAAATGCCAGACACCTGAATGCCAGAAATCTTTCTGATTGAGAGGGGGTCAAATACTTATTTCAATCATTAAAATGCAAATCAATTTATAACATTTTTTACATGCATTTTTCTGGAGTTTTTTGTTGTCCTTCTGTCTCTCAATGTTCAAATAAACCTACCATTAAAAGTATAGACTGATCATGTCTTTGTCAGTGGGCAAACATACAAAATTAGCAGGGGATCAAATACTTTCTTCCCTCACTGTATATACAGGGAGTACCAGTACCAGATCAATGTGCAGGGGTACGAGTCATTTGAGATAGATATGTACATGAAGCCAGGGTAAAGTGACTAGGCATCAAAATAGTTAATAATATAATAATAAGAGTAAGAATAAAGAACAGAGTAGCAGCAGCATATGATGAGTGTTAAAGTGTGTGCGTATGGTTTTGTGTGTGTGTGTGCGTGTGCATGCGTTGTGTCGGTATGCGTGTGTCTTATGTGTGTGCGTATGTAGTGAATGTGAATGTGTGTGTGTTTTGTGTGAGTGTCAATGTAGTGTGTGTATGTGAGTGTGTATATACACTGAGTGTACAAAACATTAGGAACACCTTCCTAATATTGAGTTGTACCCCCTTGTTCCCTCAGAACAGCCTCAATTAATCGGGCCATGGACTTTACAAGATGTTGAAATCGTTCCACAGGGATACTGGCCCATGTTGACTCCAATACTTCCCACTGTTCTGTCAAGTTGGCTGGATATCCTTTGGGTGGTGGACCATTCTTCACACACTCAAACCGGTGCACCTGAAACCTTCTACTATACCCCGTTCAAAGGCACTTCAATCTTTTGTTTTGCCTATTCACCCTTTGAATGGCACACATACACAAAACTTTAACTTTCTTCTTTAACTTGTCTCCTCCCCTTCACCTACACTGATTGAAGTAGATTTAACAAGTGACATCAATAAGGGATCAATGCTTTCACCTGGATTTCACTTGGTCATTCTATGTCATGGAAAGAGCAAGTGTTCCTCATGTTTTGTACACTCAGTGTATAGTCTTGTGAGTGTGCATAGAGTCAGTGCAAGATAGGGTCGATGCAGATAGTCTGTGTAACCATTTAATTAACTATTTATCAGTCTTATGGCTTGGGGGTAGAAGCTGTCTCGGAGCCTGTTGGTCCGAGAGCCGATGCGCCGATACCGTTTGCCGGACGGTAGCAGAAGGGTGACTGAAGTCTTTGGCAATTTTTCGGGCCTTCCACCTATTATAGAGGTCCTGGATGGCAGGGAGCTTGGCCCCAGTGATGTACTGGGCTGTCCAGACCACCCTCTGTAGCGCTTTGCGGTCAAGGGCGGTGAATTTGCCATACCAAGCGGTGGTGCAGCACATCAACACGCTACCGATGGCGCAGTTGTATAACTTTTTGTGGATCCGAGGGCCCATGCCAAATCTTTTCAGCCTCCTGAGGGGGAATAGGCCCTGTTGTGACCTCTTCACGATTATGAGGGTGTGTGTACCATATTAAGTCCTTAGTGATGTGGACGCCAAGGAACTTGAAGCTATCGATCCGCTCCACTACAGCCCCATCGATGAGAATGGGAGCGTGCTTGGTCCTCCATTTCCTGTAGTCCACAATCATCTCCTTTGTCTTGCTGACGTTGAGGGAAAGTTTGTTGTCCAGGCACCACACTGTCAAGTCTCTGACCTCCCTGTATGCTGTCTCATCACCGTTGGGGATCAGGCATACCACCGTCGTGTTGGAGTTGTGCGTGGCCACACAGTCGTGGGTGAACAGGAAGTACAGGAGGGGACTGTGTTGAGAGTCAGCATGGCTAAGGTGTTGTTGCCTACCCTCATCACCTTGGGCCGACGTGTCAGGAAGTCCAGGATCCAGTTGCAGAGGGTGGTGTTCAGTCCCAGGGTCCTGAGCTTGGTGATGAGCTTGGAGTGGACTATGGTGTTGAACGCTGAGCTGTAGTCTATGAAGAGTATTCTCACATAGTTATTTCCTTTCTTGTCCAGGTGGGAGAGGGCAGTGTGATGTGCAATTGAGATTGCGTCATCTGTGGATCTGTTGGGGTGGTATGCGAATTGGAGTGGGCCCAGGGTGTCTGAGATGATGGTGTTGATGTGTGTCATGACTAGCGTTTCAAAGCACTTCAGGATTACAGATGTGAGTGCTACAGGGCGATAGTACCATTTCGGCAGATTACCTTGGAGTTCTTGGGAACAGGGACAATGGTGGTCAGCTTGAAACGTTGGAATTACCGACTGGGACAAAGATAGATTGAAAATGTCAGTGAAGTTGGTCTGTGCATACGCTTAGAACATGCCCTGGTATTCCGTCTGGCCCGGCGACCTTGCAAGTGTTAACCTGTTTAAAGGTTTGACTCACATCGAAGCGAGCATATATTTGTTTATTTGCTAGTGTAGGAAGCGTTATCTAGCGCTAGTCGGCTGTACCTGCGCCAAAATCTCTGGTATTTTTCATCCTAAAGCTTGTTCTCCAGCTTCTTTTTAAATAGTGAACCAACATGTTTTCAGCACTTTTATTTCCCTGACTGATCATGCTCTCTCTTGTCTCTCTGGAGCAGACATATAGTGAGTAATGTTTTTGGAACATCAAATCGCAATAAAATCCCAGTTTCGAATCGCAATATATATATAGAATCATGAGAATCGCTAAACTTATCTTATCGGCACCTAAGTATCGTGAAAATATCGTATAGTGAGGTCACTGGCAATTCCCAGCCCTAGAATCAAAGTGGAATACTGATCGGATTTGCAAAAAGTAATCAATGTAAAGGAATTTTGAAAATGTTTGTATGTTTTTCACCCAACTTTATAATAATAATAATAATAACATAATATGTAATTTAGCAGACACTGTTATCCAAAGCAACTTACAGTCATGTGTGCATACATTTTACATACAGGTGGTCCCGGGAATCTAACCCACTATCCTGGCATTGCAACTGAGCTACAGAGGACCACAACTTTAAACCTAAATTATATGTTCCTTTTTTGTTGTTGATTTCAGGTTGAATTCACGTTAGTTGACAACTCAATTCAATGTAAATCAAAACTAGACATTGAACTGATGTCTGTGCCCAGTGGGAACTGTCTTTCAGTAAGGAGAAGATGAAGTTACAGTACTATTTTTTGATGTTCTTACAGCCAATAGTTTGTCTCCTGTTTGCAGCCTCCCGTCTTTGTGTGCAGCCCCTCCCTCGATGATCTTGGTGACATAGATGCTGTTGTCGCCTGGAATGTGCTGGTTCCCTACTCCCCCCGCAATACTGAACCCTAGCCCTGGAGAGGGATGGAGGTAGGAAAAGAGTGAGAGAGTGAAAGGGAAAAGATAAGGGTAGAGAGAAAAATAAAACACTATTCAAACTATATTCATCCTCTCAGGGGGTATCACTAGGAGCACAATGACCACAGATAGTCAACAACAAGCCTCATAAAGTTATCCATCAACTCAACACATTTAAAGGTAGATTTATGTATAGGAAGTCGCCTCGTGATGTACGATGATATCATATCACTGTGTCTAGCTTTAATCTCCACGGTGACAGAAACAGTCCCTTTAGGACCTTTTTATTACTTGAGGTCTATGGTTTTCTAACCTTTAGGACCTTTGACTAGTTTGAGCTCCATGGTTTTCTAACCTTTAGGACCTTTCACTAGTTTGAGCTCGCTGGTTCTCTTACCTTTAGGACCTTTGACTAGTTTGAGCTCCATTATCTTCTCTGAGAGGGCTTTTCTCCTGCGGATGTAGAGCCTGACGATGCAGCCGGCCTCCTTCAGGGCCTCCACGGCCTTACTGTGGGTCACATCCTTCACGTCTGCCTCGTTTACTCTCAAGATACAGTCATTCACTCTGCAGGAAGAGTCAAACACACCAGTCATTAACAGGGGTGAAAGTAAGGCAGTATGGTCCTGTACAACGTCCCGGCAAAATAAATAGTGGGGGGGGTGCTGTACCGGTAAAACATGAGCCTATCACAATAATGAAAACAAAATGTCAAGGAAACTGTAGGCTATTACACCATTATTTATCATTACCGTATGGCAGAAGCATTAATATGAGCGAATGGACATGAAAACGGGTGGTAGGCCTACAGTATAGCCTATGCTCCAAAATTCTATGTGGTTCGACGAGAACACTGAAATTTGCCAAGGCAGAGATGAGTGGCAGACACCGAGACACGCGCAGACAGCAGTGGAGGCATAAATTACACTTTTTGGTGTTCTGTGTAAAATATGTCTCTTTCCATTCACAACTGTTTGGAGGCTGCAAATATGTTGTGAGTGGATGAACGTACGTGGTAGCCTAGTAAAGGAGCCCTATCTCAGACTGGCCAAAAAAATGAAAAGATTAAGATGGGCAGTCTGAGATATGGCTTTTTCTTTGCAACTCTGCCTAGAAGGTCAGCATCCCGGAGTCGCCTCTTCACTGTTGACGTTGAGACTGGTGTTTTGCGGGTACTATTTAACGAAGCTGCCAGTTGAGGACCTGTGAGGCGCCTGTTTCTCAAACTAGACACTCTAATGTATTTGTCCTCTTGCTCAGTTGTGCACCGGGGCCTCCCACTCCTCTTTCTATTCTGGTTAGAGCCAGTTTGCACTGTTCTGTGAAGGGAGTAGTACACATGTCAAAAAATGATATAAATTGATTCGCATTTTAATGAGGGAAATAAGTATTTGACCCCTCTGCAAAACACGGCTTAGTACTTGGTGGCAAAACCCTTGTTGGCAATCACAGAGGTCAGACGTTTCTTGTAGTTGGCCACCAGGTTTGCATACATCTCATGAGGGATTCTGTCCCACTCCTCTTTGCAAATCTTCTCAACGTCATTAAGGTTTTGAGCCTGACATTTAACAACTCAAACCTTCAGCTCCCTCCACAGATTTTCTATGGGATTAAGGTCTGGAGACTGGCTAGGCCACTCCAGGACCTTAATGTGCTTCTTCTTGAGCCACTCATTTGTTGCCTTGGCCGTGTGTTTTGGGTCATTGTCATGCTGGAATACCCATCCACGACCCATTTTCAATGCCCTGGCTGAGGGAAGGAGGTTCTAACCCAAGATTTGACAGTACATGGCCCCGTCCATCATCCCTTTGATGCAGTGAAGTTGTCCTGTCTCCTTTGCAGAAAAACACCCCCAAAGCATAATGTTTCCACCTCCATGTTTGACGGTGGAGATGGTGTTCTTGGGGTCATAGGCAGCATTCCTCCTCCTCCAAACACGGCGAGCTGAGTTGATGCCAAAGAGCTCGATTTTGGTCTCATCTGACCACAACACTTTCACCCAGTTCTCCTCTGAATCATTCAGATGTTCATTGGCAAACTTCAGACGGGCATGTATATGTGCTTTCTTGAGCAGGGGGACCTTGCGGGCGCTGCAGGATTTCAGTCCTTCACGGCATAGTGTGTTACCAATTGTCTTGGTGACTATGGTCCCAGCTGCCTTGAGATCATTGACAAGATCCTCCCGTGTAGTTCTGGGCTGATTCCTCACCGTTCTCATGATCATTGCAACTCCACGAGGTGAGATCTTGCATGGAGCCCCAGGTCGAGGGAGATTGACAGTTATTTTGTGTTTCTTCCATTTGCGAATAATCGCACCAACTGTTGTCACCTTCTCATCAAGCTGCTTGGCGATGGTCTTGTAGCCCATTCCAGCTTTGTGTAGGTCTGCAATCTTGTCCCTGACATCCTTGGAGAGTTCTTTGGTCTTGGCCATGGTGGAGAGTTTGGAATCTGATTGATTGCTTCTGTGGACAGGTGCCTTTTATACAGGTAACAAGCTGAGATTAGGAGCACTCCCTTTAAGAGTGTGCTCCTAATCTCAGCTCGTTACCTGTATAAAAGACACCTGGGAGCCAGGAATCTTTCTGATTGAGTGGGGGTCAAATACTTATTTCCCTCTTTTAAATGCAAATACATTTATAACATTTTTGACATGCGTTTATCTGGATTTTTTTGTTGTTATTCTGTCTCTCACTGTTCAAATAAACCTACCATTAAAATTATAGACTGATCATTTCTGATCACAAAATCAGCAGGGGATCAAATACTTTTTTCCCTCACTGTAAGTGTTAAGTAAACAATAGATAAGTAAAAAATAAAATCAGTAAAATTACAGTAAAAATAACAGTAGCGAGGCTATATACAGGTGGTACCTGTACAGAGTCAACGTGCGGGAGCACCTTTTAGTCGAGGTAATTGAGGTAATATGTACATGTAGGTATAGTTAAAGTGACTATGCATAGATAATAAACAGAAAGTAGCAGTAGCGTAAAAGAGGGGGTGGGGGGACAATGCAAATAGTCCGGGTAGCCATTTGATTAGCTGTTCAGTAGTCTTATGGCTTGGGGTTAGAAGCTGTTAAGAAGCCTTTTGGACTTAGACTTGGCGCTCCGGTACCGCTTGCGATGCGGTAGCAGAGAGGACAGTCTGACTAGGGTGGCTGGATTCTTTGAGCATTTTTAGGGCCTTCCTCTGACACTGCCTGGTATAGAGGTCCTGGATGGCAGAAAGCTTGGCCCCAGTGATGTACTGGGCTGTACGCACTACCTTCTGTAGTGCTTTGCGGTCGGAGGCCAAGCAGTTGCCATACCAGGCAGTGATGCAACCAGTCAGGATGCTCTCGATGGTGCAGCTGTATAACTTTTTGAGGATCTGAGGACCCATGCCAAATCTTTTCAGTCTACTGAGGGGGAATAGGCTTTGTCGTGCCCTCTTCACGACTGTCTTGGTGTGTTTGGACCATGTTAGTTTGTTGGTGATGTGGACATCAAGGAACTTAAAGCTCTCAACCTGCTCCACTACAGCCCCGTCGATGAGAATGGGGGCGTGCTCAGTCCTTATTTTCCGGTAGTCCACAATCATCTCCTTTGTCTTGATCACTATGATGGACAGGTTGTTGTGCTGGCTCCACACTGTCAGGTCTCTGACCTCCTCCCTATAGGCTGTCTCATCATTGTCGGTGATCAGGCCTACCACTGTTGTGTCGTCGGCAAACTTAATGATGGTGTTGGAGTCGTGCCTGGCCATGCAGTCATGGGTTATTAGGGAGTAGAGGAGGTGACTGAACACGCACCCCGGAGGGGCCCCCGTGTTGAGGATCAGCGTGGCAAATGTGTTGTTACCTACCCTTACCACCTGGGGGCGGCCCATCAGGAAGTCCAGGATCCAGTTGCAGAGGGAGGTGTTTAGTCCCAGGGTCCTTAGCTTAGTGATGAGCTTTGAGGGCACTATGGTGTTGAATGCTGAGCAGTAGTCAATTAATAGCATTCTCACGTAGATGTCACAAAATTATTTTCCCAACACTTTCCCTTGCTGCCACTGCTCTTGCTCAACAAAAACTTTTGGAGATATATTTTGTGGTACATCAGTCATTCACTCCACAGGGAGAATCACAGGGAGACTCAACAAGAGTCAGTTAATGTGATTCACACCTTGGACCCATAAGCAACAATGTGAAATGCGATTGGGATCATGTAACCATACACTGTGGTGGTACCCACCTGAGGCATCCGTCCTGAGCTGCAGCTCCTCCAGGGATGATCTTGGTGATGAAGATGCTGGGGTCTTCTCCGATGTGGGGGTTATCTGTCCCCCCCGCAATACTGAAGCCCAACCCCGAGTTACCCTTCACAGAGGGACAGAAGAGAGAAATATCCACGTCTACTTCAAGTAATGAAAAATATAGGCTGTATTACTTATATGGTATTGTATTAAACTCCATAGCTAGGACCCATTTAAATGTAAATGTATGTGTATGGCTGGGGGGCTCTATGTATAATGGGAGCTATTTATGGTTGGAGGGTAGTGGCAGTGTAGTATAGTGTGTATTTAAGAGCAGTAGTATAGGCCCTGACTATATTGCCTACACTAAGGGTCAGTGTGTGGTTGTGGTTAGGGGCGGTGTGTGTCTCTGTGAGAGAGTTGTGCATTGTGTCTTTAACGGTGAAGTTGATGTAGAGTTAGAGATGCAAGCGCAGATCGTGGCTGAATCAGGTCACAGCAGAAGAAAAGAGAAGAGAAGGAGAGAAGAGAGTCCTGCAGCCTTACAGGCAGGCACAGAAACAGCTCCCTGCTCTTCTCCCCACTCTCCCTCCTTCTCTCTCTCCTCTCCCTGCTCCCTGATACACAGCTTTACATCATATTTTACGACTGAGAGCCTTGGACCCACTATGGAAAGGGCTTTTTTAAACATTATCGACTGGGAGAAAATATAGCGAAGTGGAAATATAAATGAAATATCTTGCATGGTTTTAACCTTTTAAACGTACATTTTTATTCAAATTTCTACCTTTAATCTACATTAAAACCTTAAAGGGACAATCCGCAGTTGGTACATCCATTTTTGGAATTAATGATATGTACCCATTGATTCTTTAAGAATGTAACTTACAAATGCCTCATGAGCTTAGTCATACCCTATCAGAACCCAAAATATAAGCTTGTTTTACTCCAATGTTCGTAAACAAAGTAAATGTAAACAAACACTATATAGCCTCAAAACATTGTTAAACCTATAATTGTGATCTCATGACTGGTCAGTCCTTGCATCCCTAGCTCTGTCTATGAATTTGAGAGTGACTACATTTCTCCAGCCACATCCCTCATCTTTTTACCAAAACAGTGGCAGGGAGTTCACTTTGCTATCATTTCAACTGGTGATTGTGCCTTTAAGTTTAGAGGCACCTCATGGATGATGGGTTTAAAGTAACAACTGAGATGTGATGTTCCTCCTACTTACCCGTTCCAGAGTGATCTCCTCATACTCATAATCTGCTTCTGTTCCATTCACCTGAAAGACACAAGACATCAGCCAATCAGTATCGAGGGGATAATAAGAGAGCTGTCTCCATTGGCCTAGGAGAGGGTGCCTATGGATAGATGGACAAGAGATGATTGACAGATCAAACGTCTCTCCCACTGCATGTCTCATTTTGATGGTCAACTATTCCTCCTCAAAACCCAAACTGGAGGTGTTAAAGACAGAGGTGTGAGGGACTAGGTATATATGTAGTAGTACTGTAGCTATAACAAACAGTGGGTGGGTGAGAGAAGAGCAGAGCAGAGCTGACCCCTCAGTAGCAGCTTAATAAAGGGCAGGGCAGGCTGGCTATCCATGTGAAATCCCCTCTGTTCTGTGAGGAATACTGCAGCAACGTGCAGCAGGCAGGCAGGCAGGCAGCAGGGCTTTCTGAGCAGAGCACAGCGCTAATGCTGTCTTCCTGTGTGGCGCGGGGGGATAATCTCCATGGGATTAGAGGTGATAGCCATGTTGGGAGAGAGAGGTTGACAGCAGGGCTGCTCTGTATATGCCCTGATCCTAATCAACTACTACTACTACTCTATCATATACAACACAGTCATACAACCACTACTACTACCACCCCCACCACCACTACTACTAACTACTACTACACTCTTGGGAAAAAAGGTGCTATCTAGAACCTAAAAGTGTTATTTGGCTGTCCCCATAGGAGAACCCTTTGGAGAACCCTTTTTGGTTCCAGGAAGAACCATTTTGGTTCCAGGTAGAACCCTTTTGAGTTCCATGAAGAACCCTTTTCAAAGAGGTTTCTACATGGAATCCAAATGGGTTCTACCTGGAACCAAAAAGGGTTCTCCTATGGGGACAACCGAAAACCCCTTTTGGAACCCTTTTTTCTAAGAGTGTACTACTTCTACTACTACTACTTCTGTTCTACTACCACTACTTAACTGAGAGGATGACAGCAGGGCTACTCTGCACCTGCCCTGCCTAACTGCTACCATCCCTACTATCACTACTTAACGCAATCATCAACACAACATGGGAGGAATAACGAACACTGTGTCCCAACAAGAGAGACCTTGTATGGATCATGTGGCACCTCTGATCTGGAATGAACTGTGACGTGATTCAGACATCAGCGGTGAAACACAAAACAACAGTGAGAAACAACAACAGTAAACAAACGTTTGGTCAATTGTTCCATCATAATCCTATGACCCTTTTCCTAATTGCATAATGTATGGAGTCTATACGCTCAGTTCATATGCAACACTGTGCTGTGCTGCTAGTGATTATATGGTCATATGTTCACCCTAACTCCTCCCCCACCCCCAGCCCATCAGTCTTGATGAGGAGTTGATTAAATTAGTAGAATCAGGTGTAACTGTGCTGGGCGCTAAGAGACAAAAGGTCTTTCTGGGACACCAATCTCTAACTTTAGTGGTGGGATTCAAGAGTCTGTCATTCACCTACAGTAGGCTAACACTGTCTTGGAAAGTTCAGAAGCCATGTAACACGAGTGTGTGTCTTGACTGAGGCAGCAGGAGATGGGTGATTCTTATGAAACCATTTTTAAACATGTCTGTAACAAATTGAGTTACAAAACCATCATGCATTTGCAAAAATCTACTATCATTCTGAAGACTAAGAGGTTTAGTCTTATTTTAAATACATGTATCATTTTCTCCTGATTCTTGTACATTTTCACCCTAGATTCTCATTTTCAGCATCCATATTAAATTCTCGGGTAATTATATAAAATTTTACTTGAGAAAATCCTAAATTATTAAAAATATATATATATATACACAGCTCTGGAAAAAATTAAGAGACCACTGCAAAATTATCAGTTTCTCTGGTTTTACTATTTATAGGTATGTGTTTGGGTAAAAATAACATTTTTGTTTTATTCTATAAACTAATGACAACATTTCTCCAAAATTCCAAATAAAAATATTGTCATTTAGAGCATTTATTTGCAGAAAATGACAACTGGTCAAAAATAACAACAGTGTTGTCAGACCTCGAATAATGCAAAGAAAATAAGTTCATGTTCATTTTTAAACAACACAATACTAATGTTTTAACTTAGGAAGAGTTCAGAAATCAATATTTGGTGGAATAACCCTGATTTTCAATCACAGCTTTCATGCGTCTTGGCATGCTCTCCACCAGTCTTTCACATTGATGTTGGGTGACTTTATGCCACTCCTGGCACAAAAATTCAAGCAGCTCGGCTTTGTTTGATGGCTTGTGACCATCCATCTTCCTCTTGATCACATTCCAGAAGTTTTCAGTGGGGTTCAGGTCTGGAGATTGGGCTGGCCATGACAGGGTCTTAATCTGGTGGTCCTCCATCCACACCTTAAATTGACCTGGCTGTGTGGCATGGCGCATTGTCCTGCTGGAAAAACCAATCCTCAGAATTGGGGAACAATGTCAGAGCAAAAGGAAGCACATTTTCTTCCAGGACAACCTTGCATATGGCTTGATTCATGCATCCTTCACAAAGACAAATCTGCCCGATTCCAGCTTTGCTGAAGCACCCCCAGATCATCACTGATCCTCCACCAAATTTCACAGTGGGTGTGAGACACTGTGGCTTGTAGGTCTCTCCAGGTCTTCGTCTAATCATTAGATGACCAGGTGTTGGGCAAAGCTTAAAATTGGACTCATCAGAGAAGATGACCTTACTCCAGTCCTCTATGGTCCAATCCTTATGGTATTTTGCATTTGGCTCTTCTTTGCTTCTCATTGATGAAGGGCTTTTTTCTAGCTTTCCACGACTTCAGCCCTGCCCCTAGGAGCCTGTTTCGAACCGTCCTCAGACCCCAGCTGCCGTTTGCCCTTCTTTATGTAGGTCACTTGATGTCATCCTACGGTTGTTGAGTGACATTCAAATGAGTTGGCGGTCATCCCGGTCAGTAGAGAGTCGTTTTCGCCCTCTGCCGGTCTGTAGCTTTGTTGTCCCCAATGTCTGCTGCTTGAACTTGTTCTTATGAACCGCCGTCATTGAAATTTTAAGGATGGAAGCAACCTGACATTCACTGTATCCCTCTGCCAGTAAAGCCATAATTGAACCCTTCTTTTCCTCACTCAAAACTTTCCTTTTCAACTCTTTTTCCATGGTCAATAGTCCTTTTTTGATTAATATTACTTTTTAGGTACTATTAGCACTGTTTTTGCCATCCAGCTGGTCCTATTGCAGGAGGATAGTGAGGACCACAGCAGTGGTTTTTATACTTTTCCTCGTTAAATAAGATTTGGTTCAGGTGATCACCTAATCAGTACCTAATTCAGTAGAATGAGGTGTGCCTGTGTTGGAATTCAACAGACACTGGAATGGAATGGCTGTCATACATGTAGAGATGCTGATTTAAGAAAAATCTAAAGTGGTCTCTTAATTTCTTCCAGAGCTGTATATGTTGCTGCAGTTTTTCCGGAAATTATATATGTTTTTACTAGTTTAAGTTTACATTAAAGTATTACGTGTATTACGTAAAAACATGTCTCATTACTGTAACACTTTTCTAAGTTCCTGAAAAAACTCCAGTTAGTTTTTAAATAGAGTTTTATTCACCCATCACACATCATCTAGAGTAGTAGTTCTTAGATGAGCACAAGTTAAGTTAATTTATTCGCTTATATGCCTTCAGAATGAGGTTCTGATTCTCAAACACCCCTGTGGCCTTCTCATTACCAAAACGGCTAAAAACCTCAAATTGGGAAAAAGTCAGAGAACCATTACATGGAGGCAAGAATGGGCTTTAGTGATGTGGTCAATTGTTTGCTGACTCATATTAGGATTGTTTTTTATTATTATTTATTCAGGGGAAACCCCATTAAGACAATGGTCTCATTCCCAAGGGTGCCCTGCTCATAACAATACAACAACA